TTTTAATGCTCTCAGTTTATAGGAGCTCTGGTAGCATAGTGGCTAAGGCACTTGACTGCTAACCAGAAGGCTGGCGGTTCAAACCCACAAGCCACTCCTCGGAAGGAAGGTTGGGCATTCCTACTTCCGTAGTGATACTGCCTCGGAAACCCAAGGAGGGGTCGCTATGAGGCGGGGCCAACTCGACGGCAAATAACAACAACACAACAATGCTCTCAGTCAGAGCTGTGATTATTACCCAATTACAATGACCCTTCAAGTCACATGGTTTTGTCTCCATGCAGCTGCAAGCACATTGCTGTTTTCCTTGCTGCCAGCGCACAGGAGAAGGTCCATGGGGAAGGGGTGCTGATACCATGACTTATAGCATCGGTGTAAGCTACCCTAGGGACCCCACTGAATCTGTTAGCAAACTCTCAGAAAAGTTTTTCATGAGACTGAGGACAAAGAGCCTGGATTTGAGGAAAGAGCTTGGCAGTTGAGTCAGCAGGGTGACGCAGTAGCAGATAGAATGAGCGTGAGCAGGCTCACACCATGGCCGATGGGCACAGAGCAATGGCACTGCTTGACCGGCCTGTCGTCGCCACTGGAATGGACGCTGCCTGAGGACAGAGGCCCCAGCTCTCTTGTATACCGCCAAATACAGAATCAATATTCAACTGATATATTTGGCCTAGACATCCCAGATTTTCAAATAGTGACACACTCTCGTAACCTAGTTGCTCTCATGTCGACTGACTCATGGTAACCCCTTGTGTCAGAGTAGAACTGTGCCCCACAGGGTTTTCAGTGACCGATTTTTCAGAAGTTGGTTGCCATGCCTTTCTTCTGAGGTACCTCCTGGTGACTCTAACCTCTAACTTCTTGGTTAACAGCTGAGCATGTTAACCATTTTTGCTGTGGAATCAATTCCAACTCATAGCAACCCCTCCTTGGGTTTCTGAGGCGGTATATCTACGGAAGTAGATTGTCCAGTCTTCCTTCCCATGAGCGGCTGGTGGGTTTGAACCCCAGCCTTCTGGTTAGCAGTCAAATGCCTTAGGCACTATGCCACCAGAGCGCAAGCGACTGGTGCCTTCTGACAACACGACCAAAGGAAGTGAGACGAAGTCTGGCCATTCTCGCTTCCAAGGAGCATCTCATCTGGCTGCCCTTCTTCCAGGACAGATCTCCTTGCTCGTCTGGCAGTCTGTGATATTTTCAGTGTTTTTTGCCAACACCACAGTTCAAAGGCATCAGTTCTTCTTGGGTCTTCCTTATTTATTGTCTAGCTTTCACATGCATATCAGGTGATTGAAAGATTACAGCCCAGGAAACTCTAGGAGCAGTTCTACCCTGTTTTATAGAGTGACTATGACTCAAAATTGACTCAATGGCCTGCAGCAACAACATACTGATATGGTCTCATTAACATAACAAAGAAAAGCTCTGTTCCCAAACGGGATTATATCTACTGGCATGGGAACAGGATTCCAACACATATTTTGGGGGACACAGTTTAATCTGTGAAAATCAAAAAACCAAACCGACTGCCATTGAGTTGATTCCGACTCATAGTGACCCTATTAAATTCATATTATGTGCCTGACTCTGTATTATGCGAATCTAGGGGTGGGGAGGGAAAGATTCTGTGTTTTGTGAGCAACTTGTCGTGTAATAGGAACTACCTAATTTGTCAGGCCCAGTGCAAAATGAAAATCCCTGCCCCCTTGTTTGAAAAAGCAGGAAAAAACCTTTTTCCTTTCGTCTGCCATCTCTGTCTTAACCTGTCATAGTGGTTTTTACTTTCTATTTCATGTCACACTTCCTCGGGTGTGGGAATACTCACAGGGCAAGTGCAGATTCTCACAGTCTTGAGCTTAGGCCCTAACCTGACTCTCCATGTTCATGGCCCAGGTCTTGGCCAAGTGATCACTGGGCAAAGGCAGGGAGATGGGTGGCTGAGAACCAGTCCTGGGGAGCCAGGGAGGTAGTAGAAGAGGGGGTCTCAGTGAATCAGGGTCTCAACTTTGTAATAATACAAATTAATAATTTCCAGACAGCAATGTCAGAGCCTTTTACCCTAAGCCTCCTCCCTTCTAAGCACAGGCTCTGAGCAACTGCACAGGTAGCAAGACCCTGTTCATGGCTGGGGTGGGCTCTGGGCTCCTCCTTATGTGCGATTTCCCCTCAGCACCTCCCTGCCATTGCTGGTGGACCCCGGGGACTGGCTGGGGTGCAGGTGGAACCCTTTCTCCTTCTCTCCACAGGGGCTGTGAGGGCCTCCAGCGTCTTCCCCATCCTCAGCGTCACGCTGCTGTTCTTCGGCGGGCTCTGCGTGGCGGCCAGTGAGTTCCACCGCAGCAGACACAACGTCATTCTCAGCGCGGGCATCTTTTTTGTCTCTGCAGGTGAGCATCTGGCTCCAGCCCTGAGATCAGCACAGACACCCAGCAGCCAGAGCCAGGGCCACTTGGACAAAGCAATGCTATTCCTTCCAGGGAAAGAGCAATCAAATGTTCAACTTGTGTTAAGAATAAGGACCTAAAGACATTAATTGGAACCAAAGATGCTGAAACTCTAGCTGAGGGTAGCATGAAGGGAAGTGGGGGAGGAGACAGGGGGGCAGGGTAAATTGAGAGAATGAGAGACACACAGAGACTGACTAACAAGAGTGTGTGCAAGAATATGTTTGCACATATGTGGAAGGTGGGCGGTATGATTTGTGTGTGCATGTTTGGGAAGCCTGAGAGACTGATTCAGTTGTAAAGGGGTCCAACTTTCTGTTCACTTGGATGTTTTCATATACCATCTCTGGCCCTTTGAGACATGGGTTTGCTGGTTGACTGCTGTTTACAACTTCTCAAGCTCTCAAACTTTCCTATCATTCTAAGCATCTCTGGGAACAAGGTCAAGACCAGGAGACCCAGATGTTCTCAGGGGAGACCTTGCAGCCCTGACCAGAAGGCACAAGGTGGCAAGTGGGATGAGTGACAGTCTTTGGGAAGAGGGTCCTATTCTCTGCCTTCCCTCTCCATCCTTCATCTCCTTTCCCTTCTATTTTCCTCATCTTCCTCTCTTTCCTCTGGATTGCCGTCCCTCCTTTCACCTGTTGTCATCCCTCCCAGTGGCGCTAAGGAAAAACTTCAGAGAAACAAAGCACAGGGTAGGGACAAGGAGGAGCTCGACTCTGATGATAGCATTCAAATTCTGCACCATGATGACAAAATATTTATTGAGATGGGAACAATGGGGAAAGTATAAAATGATGGGGAAACGTCTGGGACTGCTGACACATCTCCTGGGTTTGAATCCTGGCTCCACCTGTGGGGCCTTGGACAAGTTACTCACTCCTTAAAGCTTGGTTTACTTGACTGTAAAATGGGAACTAATAACAGTAGCTACTTGGCACAAATGGTTAAGCACTGGCTACTAACCGAAAGGTTGGCAGTTCAAACCTTCCCAGCAGGTCTGCTGGAGAAAAACTTCCCAATCTGTTCCTGTAAAGATTTACAGACTAGAAAACCCATAGGGTAGCTCTTCTTTGTCACACAGGGTCACTGTGAGTCAGAATCAACTTGGCAGCACTTGACAACAACCACCCCACCTAGTTCATAGGGTTGTGGTGAGGAAACTGAGTACCAGACACACAGAGAACACAACATCACATTCTAGTATTGGAAAACTAGTGATACAGCTCAGAAGTCTGGAGTCTGGCGTCCTGTCACACTGTGAGACCCTGCTCAGGTTCCTTCCCCCCTCTGGCTCTCATTCTATAAAATTAGAAAGTTGGATCCCACCCAAGTGTGAGTCTCTGGGAACCAACTCTAGCAACAGACCAGGAAGAAGTGTGCCATCTTCCTGTAGAGTGATGGGTCAGCCCATCGGCTGTTGTAGTTATAATCTGTGACGGATGGTGATGGCTGGCGATCCCAGGGCCTTGGTTTGCTTTGAGGCAAATTACAGTCACTGGTGGCTGCGTGCAGACCTCCCAGGCTCTGACTGACCCAGAGGATGCAATGTTGTGCTGGCTTGAGGGTTTTCTAACAGGAAAGGATCATTATTTTGTCTCCCGAGGGGATTGTTAGGGAAGAGCGTGTCACCCGCAACTTTCTTCTCACGAGGGCTATTGTGAGGGATGGCGGGTAGATGAGACACATGGAAACTGTGAAGCACTGTGGCAGTGGAGCAAGCCACAGATCCCCAAGAGATCCCAACAGTCTTTGTTTTTCACCTGTAAAGTGAAAACGTTGGCGGCTTTGGGACTCTCTCACTCACTCACTCACTGCCGACGAATCAGATCTGACTCATAGCGACCCCTCCTTGGGTTTCCGAGGCAGTATCACTATGGAAGTAGATTGCCCAACCTTCCTTCTGAGGAGTGGCTGGTGGGTTTGAACCGCCAGCCTTCTGGTTAGCAATCAAATGCCTCTAAGGCTCCTTTCTGCTCGACCACATTAAGATTCTGTGGTTTCAGCCAGGCAATCAGCAACCCTTTATGTGCCAGGCAAAGAGCCTAGGCTCTGAAGATAGGCTGCCTAGTGCAAATCTTGGCTCAGCCACTCCCTTGATGTGTAACCTCAGGCAAATCATATAACCCCTCTGCACCATGGTTTCCTCATGTGAAAAATGAGGGTAATAATGGCCCCACCTCTTAAGGCTGTTATGAGAATTAAGTAAATTGGAATATATAAAATGCCTAGAACAGTGCCTGGCACACAGTAAGTGCTCAATAGATAGTATCAGTGATTATATATGTTGCACCATTTTATTTTCATGCTGACCTGACTCATTCACTCATTCAACAGATTTGCACTGCACCCTTACCATGGGTCAGGCTCTGGGCTAGGAGTTGGGGCCACAGAAGATGAACCGCAAGAGCTTGTTTCCTCCCTCAGGGAGTTTACAGTCTTGAGACTGGGACAAAGGAATTGGTCACTCACATCTTGGTCTTAGAATCTAAGTCAGTGCCTTGTGACTGAAATCGAAATGAGCCTGTGGCTAAGAGATTGTTCTGCCTTCAAAACCCATTTCCACCATTTCTTACCTGTGTAGACTTGGGAAATAACTCACCTTCAATCTACTTCCATAGAGATACTGCCTTGGAAATCCAAGGAGGGGTCACTATGAGTCGGAAACGACTTGATGGCAGTGAGATATAAAACAAACTCACAGGTTCTTTATCTGTAATTTTTTTTTTAAAGTGGGCTTGTTGCAATGATTAATTGAGAGGATGCACACAAATGCATTGCACAGTGCCTGCTACATAGTAAACCCATTGCTGTTGAATCAATTTTGACTCATAGTGACCGCATGGGACAGAGCAGAACTGCCCCATAGCATTTCTTTACAGGAGCAGAGAGTGCTACATCTTTCTCTCACAGAGCAGCTGGTTGGTTTGAACCACCAACTTTTTGGTTAGCTGGGGGCTTAACTACTGTGCCACCAGGGCTGCTTGGCACATAGGAAGTCCTCTATAAATGGCAGCTAAACATTACAGCTTGGGATGCCCTTTTGGGCACTTCTATTGTGTCCTATATGGTTGCTATGATTTGAAATTGACTCAATGGCACCCAACAAAAACAAGTCGCGGCTGACTTGGCTTCCTGCCTCCTTTAAGTTGGTCTGACATATGAGCCTCTCTCTGAAGATTTTTGTTTTCTCCAGCAAGTCTTCTACTCGGGTCCTCCCAAACTTTGCCACCAAGATGTCTCTGCTGGCAGAGGAGAGAAAATGTGCCCTTGGGGAATAAAGAGGAATCGCCAGAAGCAGACTTCAACAAGCTGAAATGTCTTTGAAGTCAGTCTCCCATTGAAACTTAAAAATTCATGTGAATTCCACTTTCTCCTCCTTATTATATCCATGTTCATTTTAATATAAAAGAATATGTCTTCCCTACTTATCTTCAAGCTAAATTGACACTCCAGGAAGAGGAGCCATTTTTCATCCTGTGGTTTCCTGACACAGGGCAGGCTATGTCAGCTCTCATATTCAGAACTTGTGATTAGAACCTGCTGCCCACCTGCTGAATGCATGCACTGGGTAATGCAAATGGAGATAAGACTGAACTAGACCTTGGCCTGGGGGTCATATTCAAAATATTAATAACCCTTAATGCAAGTGCAAGAGCACTAGTGACACAATGGTTAAACACTTGTACACTGACAGAAAGGTTGGTGGTTCAAACCCATCCAGTGGCTCCCCAGAGGAAAAGACCTGGAAATCTGCTTCCATAAAGATTACAGCCAAGAAAAGTCTACAAGGCAGTTCTGCTAGTCACAGGGGGTCACTGTGAGTTGGAATGCTTTAACTCAGACTCTACTTGAGGGCATCCACCACCAACAACCATGCATGCGCCCTAGCCAATCAGAATGGCAGGGCAAGAACAGAAAACTGCAGCTCCTGTTATGCCAAGGTTTAACCTTTCGTTCCTGGACTATGGGGAGATCTTTGGGACATCAAGGGAACGGACAGTGGACTCAGGAGACTTCTGGAAATGACTGCGTATCAACTGGTGTTGGGAACTGTCGAGAGCAACCGTCTCCATTCAGTGCCACCCTGCAGGTAGCCACCACTCATCTGCCAGTTTGTCACACTGTGGTGCCTTGTGTGTTGCTCCAATGCTGGAAGTTATGCCATCAGTGTTAACAAATACCAGCATGGTCATCTATGGTGGAAAGGTTTCAGTGGAGCTTCCAGACAAAGACAGACTAGGAAGAAAGACCTGGCAAACTCATATGAGCTGAACATTTACATTAGGTAGATACACTCCTTGGAAAGAACAATCATGCAAGTATAGGAGGACCATGTATGCACAGGGAGAGAGCTCGGGGGCAGGAGTGCGTGAGAGGGAAGGACACAGGGAAGAATTGGCTATGGGAGGAAGTGGGAGAATAGCTATTGCATTGTGGGAGATTGCCATCACTGTTAGGAGACAAAGTGTAGGTGAGTATGGAAGATGAATTTGCTCTGTAAACTCACCCAAATCACAATAAAATTTAAAAAAGAAAAGAAAAGAAAGACCTGGTAAACTACTGTTCTTATTGTTGTTTGCAGTTGAGTCAGCACTGACTCATAGTGACACCTCCTTGGATTTCCAAGGCAATATCACTACAGAAGTAGGACTGCCCATCCTTCCTTCCAAGGAGTGGCTGGTGGGCTTGAACCACGAGCCTTCTGGTCAGCAGTCAAGTGCCTTAGAAAATTGGCCAGTGAAAACCTTATAAGTAGCAGCAAACACTGTCTGATATAGTGCCAGAAGATGAGTCCTTCGGGTTGTGAGACACTCAAAATGTGACTGGGAAAGAACTGCTCCCTTAAAGTAGAGTTGACCTTAATGAAGTGGATGGTCACATCAAAGCTTTCAGGAGCTTCATTTGCTGTTGGGACATGACTCAAAATGGGAAGAAAC